ATGGGTTTAGATGGCAAAGATATACAGTGCATTAGAAATTTATATTGCCAACAAACTGCAAAAGTAAAATATGGAGATATAACCACAACGGATCTTCACATTCACAGGGGTGTTCGCCAAGGATGCATTCTATCACCACTGCTATTTAATATCTATTCAGAAAAAATATTTCAAGAATCAATAGCTGAAGAAAATAGAGGAATAAAAGTCAACGGCACATTTATTAACAATATTCGATACGCCGACGATACCACCATAATTGCAGACAGTATCGAAGATTTACAACACCTAATGAACAAGGTAAATCACCACAGCAAAAAATTTGGTTTAAACATGAACAACAAAAAAACCAAATACATGATTGTAACTAAACACAACATACCATATACGAACGCTTCCATCTACATCGACAATGAACCCATAGAACGTGTAAACAACTTCATATATCTCGGATCGATGTTACACGAAGGCTGGGATTCTGAAAAAGAAATAAAACGTCGTATAGAAATGGCGAGGGGCGCCTCTTTGAATTATCAAAAAGTATTGACCAATCGAAGTATTAACATCGAATTGAGATTGCGTTTTATGAGATGCTACATATGGTCAGTTCTCATGTACGGTGCTGAAACATGGACTCTGAAAGTATCAAGCATGAACAAAATTGAAGCATTTGAAATGTGGGTATACAGGCGCATGCTAAAAATATCGTGGACAGAAAGAGTCTCAAATTCTGAAGTATTGAACAGACTAAGGAAACAAAGAGAACTACTGCTGACAATCAAAAAACAAAAAGCCGCATATTTTGGTCATGTAATTAGGGGCCAGAAATACGAACTTCTGCAATTAATTATCCAAGGAAGAATTGAAGGCAAACGAGGAGTGGGAAGAAAGCAAATGTCCTGGTTACGAAATATTAGAAACTGGACAAATATAAGAACAATTGGAAATTTAGTTCATATAGCATCAAATCGTGAGGAGTACGCTAATATTGTTGCCAGCATTCGCTAACTCATCAAAGGTACACGCTTATATCCAGCAGTGGATATGCAGCAGAAGAAGAAGATTCTTCAAAATAGTGAAAAATGTAAAATCGTCCCGCAAATCAGTTTTCGAGCCGTGATCGTTCCAAAAAGACTTGTATGTTCATTGTTTTAATACGAGGAATTTAAATATTAAATTTCAATGAAATCGGTTGATTAATTCTCTTTATATACAGAAAAATGTATATTTGGCCCGTAGTAAACGTCCAGTTGCTGACACCTGATTTCTTCCAAAAGTTAGGAATTTTTGGGGAAGGTCGAGCAAAGCTTGTATATGAAATTTCAAGAAAATCGGTTGAATATTTTCTTCAAAATATTCAAAAATGTAAAACAGGCCCGCTAAAAAGTGCAGTTCCGGAGGCCTGATATATCCCAAAAGTTGATCAATCCGTGCCATGGTGGAAATAAACTTACATATTAAATGTCATCAAAATCGGTTCAGCAGAACTTGAGATACACGCGTGCAACGGACCGACAGGTTGCTAAAAATAGTTTACTTACACTTCACTACTATGGAGAAGTGCATTCCCACCGAAAACTCGATCTGCAAAATTTGTTTCCCTCACATAACTTACCTATTGTATACACAATGCGGTCGGTAATAATAATAATAATAATAATAATAATAATAATGATAATAATAATAATAGTCACTCACAGGTGAGTACGGACTATACGAAACTTTTTAGATTTGCTCAAGGGTTACATGATGGGACTCAAAGTATCTATTTTTTATATTTTTTAAAGTGATGAAGCTTAAACGTTTTATTTTTGTTTTACTGCTTTCAAAAAATTGGTGGGATTCGCACTTGGAGCTTTTAGTTATAATATATTGTAATAAATTGTCTATCTTGGACAAAATAAAAATAATTTTATAAACATCTACGTGTTTATAGATGTAATCAACTAGGGTGTTTATAAATTTTTAACAATTGTTGATTTTTATTTTTTTCTAACAAAATTGTAATATAATTTTTAGCACTTTTCCAAAAAATTTTTGAAAAAAGTGCTTATTAGTTTCACTCTGTCCGTCCGTCCGACCGTCCGTCCGTCCGTCCGCCCGTCCGACCGTCCGTCCGTCCGTCCGTCCGTCCGTCCGTCCGTCCGTCCGTCCGTCCGTCCGTCCGTCCGTCCGTCCGTCCGTCCGTCCGTCTGTCCGTGTGTCTGTTTACAAAACTTCTACACCCTTGAAGATAGAAAGCTGAAATTTTGTTTGTACATAGATCTGTACTAGAAACTTATTTCCGTAGAACAAAATTTTTACCTATCGCACCCCCTTTAGAAGTTATACCCCCCAAAACCCTAAAAATGGCCTTTTTAACTATTTGCTGCAATGAAACCATAAGCATTTTTGAAATTTTGCAAACGCATAATGGCAGCGGCTTGCTTCCCCTAGCGCGATATACTTTTGTTAAACTTTAGAAAAACAAAATGGCCGTTCAAATTTACCGTTATCTAAAGTCTTTTTTTTCAAATTTTTGATTTCGTTTTTCTTCTAGACCCCAGCCTGTAGAAGCTTGAAATTTTAGGGGCTTATAGACATTAACAAATAGTTCATTTCGTTAGAAGAACATTTTTTTCCATCTCCACCCCCTACCAAGTTATCGCCTCTTGAAATTTGTAAAATTTGAATTTTTGGCGCCTTATATTTCCAAAACCGCAAACGCTTTCAAATTTCTATAAACATAAAAAGTTAGCGGTAAATTCCGTGACATTAAAAAATATAATTATTTTTCTTAACTCACACAATTAACCCTTAAAATCGATCATTATGTTAACTCCTCTTTATATTAATTTTTGCTTTATTTCAAAGACTGCATGAATGCATCATCCTAAATATATGCAATCCTAGAAATAGTTAAATATGAATGAAAATAATTTTAATAGCGTGATAGGTATGCATAGACTGTATTTAAAAGCAGAATTTTCACTTGTTTAAGGGAAAAGTGCTGCAATACAAACCATTGGTTTGACCCAACTTTATTAATATTAAAGAAGAATTCAAAGAAGAGTAGAAGAAACATATACATATGCACATACATATACTTATATGTATATCCAAGGAAGAAAAAATTGTCATTACATTCATGAAAAAAAAAATAAAACAAAACAATTAAAGCAAAAGTTTTGAATTCTTATGAATTTATTACAAGAAAATATATTATCATAAATGAATTTTTAGTCCATATCTTTTTTTTCACATCAAAATTTTGCAGTTTGTATGACGTGGATCAAAATATTTGTATATACGGGATATAGACACAATTTGACAAAAAATAAAAGGATCCACGTATGTAATAAAATAAAGAAAAAATTAAGGTTCAAAAGTATTTTTTATTGAAAATGTTGATACTTTTCCAAAATATTAAAAAATTCTTTTGGGTATATTAAAAGAATATTGCCTCTTATTTGAAATAAAAAATTCAATATTTCAATACCTTGCGTAGCTAATAATTTTGATAAACTGAGCAGAGATTTTATAAAATCTAAGTGAATTTGAATTTATTAAAATGTGAAATATTTATGTTATCAATGATTTTACCATTTGGTATATCCTTGATAATTTCTTTTTTTTTTAATAGCTGCAATTAACGGCATATACTTTTCCTCAAAATCAATGTTTTTAACTTCACTGAATTTTATAAAATCTTCTTAATAAGAAGATGTCGACTACTGTTCTCAATGTTGTTTTCAAGGACATAAATTGTATTCTTTGATCACGGGTCCTCCCCATTGCTTCAAAAATCTTTTTTTTGTTTGCTGATGTAGATTTAAGTTTTCGTAATGGAAAATGGAAAAAATTTTACCATGAAAGTTATGAGTACATCAATTTTTGATGGCGAATTTTTTCCTTTTAAAGTTGGAAAGGAATTTCATGTTAAATTTTACTTTTTTTTATGGAAATAAAGCTAGTCGTAATCGTTCTAATCGAAGTTCAAGCCTTCCAGAAGTTTTTTTATCACATCTTGACCATTGGGGATCAAACCAAAACGTCTAAATAATGATTCTATAAGTAAGAAGAGTAATGTAATTTTATTAAATTTATACTAACATATTGAAGGCGCATTTTTTAAAGGTGTTGACTTTCTTCTATTTTAAAATGAAAAGTAAATGACTTTCGAAACATTTTCGTACCAGCTGAAAAATCCGATTTTATTAAAGAAAAATAAACTAACTTTTTCTGACAAGCTACCAGTTTTATAAATTTAATCTAACGAGCAAAGTTGTCCATGGATGTTATTTTCACAAAAAATTTATTTTTTTTTTATAAAATCCGATGTGAAATATTGAACTTTTGAAAATTCTAATTTTCCAAAGTTCATTTTATTTAATATTTTGTAGGTGTTTAATGCATTTTTTTGTTTTTCATCAATTAACATTTTCTTTCATCACGAAAAATTATGTAAAAAAATCTAGAATTTTTGTACGCAAACACGTCCTAACACTTTCACACGCAATTAGTATATTTCAATTTTTTAGAAACGCGTACATATGTCAATAAAAAGTTGCTAAAAGTTCATGAATATGGTTTATTTTAGTATCAAAAAATTTTTTTCGGAAAAATGTTATTCATTTTTACATCGGTTTTGGATATGGACCATAATGCATTTATATTTAGTAAAAATTATCGATATAGATCAAAGTTGCATAATACGATATAGATCAATTCTATAACTTAGGAAATACAAGAGTCTTCGAAAACCTACAAAGGTATTGCTAACTTCAAAAATCCCAAATTGGCGTATGGACCACATCAGTATTGGACCGACGATAGATGGTCTCTGGTATTACTTTATTTCCGATGCGTTATTTTGATTCATACACGAAACAAGATATATATTATTGCTGACGTCATTTATTTTGCAGAAAACTTATAACAACATTATAAGGGTATTAGGAATAAATCACACCTAAATGTATGTAATCCCTTCTGCTGCGTAACAGGCTTATTGAACTTTATGAGAAGATTAATATAACATAAAACTAAAATTAACAAAAGCAAATCTGTTAACAGTTAATATGAAATAACATATAATATACCTTAAATATTAGAGGAATTGGGAATAATTTTTTTTTCTCTTTTTTTTTTTGTTAATTTTCCGAGGTCAAAGAACATAAGCGATAATACACGGTGGTATTACCATCGGATTTTTTTTGTATAATATAATACATACTAGGGGCCCCTGTGGTTTGCTTATAAGCAGCATTATCTGTTGTAAAAACAGGATTGTGGCAATCAATTTTAAAATAAGTTTAGAAAAATTTGTACATATTATGGCATACATATGCAGGTATATACTTGTATATGCATAAATATCATATTGGTTTGAAGACTAATGATAAATAAAAGTAATGGAAATATTTTTAATTTAATAAATTTTAAGATGTAATATGTGTCACTGTTAATTACATAGATATGATTAAAATTCAATTTAAGAATTAGTTAACAATTAAGAACGAAAAATTTCCTTATAAACAACGTTATCTGTTAAAATATTTTCATCATCGATTTTTCCCTGGCGAACCGTATCTTTGACTTGAATTTTTAAAGAATTGGAGTCTATGGCTCTTGAACATGCTGTGTATAATTGCCCATGCGAAAAGCACGGCTGGGGGAGATAGAGGCCAACCTTTTCAAAAGTTTGCCCTTGGGACTTATTTATAGTCATGGCATATGCAAGACGGATGGGGAACTGATGCCGAACAAAACTAAAAGGAAAGTAATAATAATAATAACAATAATAATAATAAAAATAATAATAATATTAATAATAAAATTAATAATAACAATAATAATAATAATAATAATAATAATAATAAAAATAATAAAAATAATAATAATAATAATAGCAATAATAATAATAATAAAAATAATAATAATAATAATAATAATAATAATAATAATAATAATAAAAATAATAATAACAATAATAATAATAAAAATAATAATAATAATAATAATAATAA